AGCAATGGGGCAACGGTTAGCGCCTACTTTGGCCATAGCCTTTATGTCCAAAATAGAAGCGCCCGTTTTAGAACACCGCCCCTTGCTCTACAGTCGCTATGTTGATGACTGCTTTGTGATCTGCTCCACACAGGAAGAGATGGACATGTGCTTCGAACTTCTCAACACACAGTCTGAGCACATTAAGCTGACACGGGAAAAACCATCCGGAAATTGGCTACCTTTCCTAAATATCCAGGTGAAGATCCAGGGTGGCACGCTTTCTACGAAATGGTATAGAAAGCCTAGCAATAAGAATTATCGTCCACTGCCAGTCCGCTCACCCTCTGCAGACCAAGCGAGCTGTCGTGAGGAACATGTTTCGAACAGCGGCGAAGGTCTGTTCGGGAGAGGAAGAGCGAAAGGAGTCCCTAAAGCTGGCACACGAAATTGCTGCCCTCAATGGCTACGAAGCCCCAGCGACCTCCCATAGAGCCAGAAATAGTGGCGCGAATAGCGGACGTGGTGGTGATTTGCTGGACGGAAAAGTCCCTTTCATTTTACCCTACGTCTCTGAGGAAGTCAGCACTTCCATCAGGAAGTGCTTGGGGAGGTCTGGCTTGGAAAGCACAGTGGTCATTGTAAATGTGCCACCCACTAATCTGAAGCGTCGCCTGGTTAGGAATCGGCTATGTACAACCCCCAATTGCGTAGTCTGCCCGACTGGCAGGGAGGGCGACTGTACCATCTCGGGGGTGGTCTACAAGATCACCTGTTGCAGTTGCGGGGATGAGTACATCGGTGAAACATCGAGGCCGATCAGCGTGAGGGTGAAGGAGCACCTGGACGGCAAAAGTAGGTCACGTTTGTCGACTGCCTTAGGGGCCCACAGGGTTCAAGTGCATGACGGGGACGATTTTGAGGTCGAGGTCAGGGTCTTGGCGCGAGAATCGCAGACATCTGCACGCAAAACCCTCGAGGCATTTTGGATTGAGGTCAGCAATCCAAAAATGAACCGGAGGGGGGAATGCGTCACAATAACGCGGGAGCTGAGACCTTATATAAGGATGGCCTTCCAAGAGTGACCCTGAATGAGGAACAGTCCGAGGAGGTCCTACTGCCGGCTCGCTGGTCTCGAAGATCGGACTGTGTTGCGGTGAGTGCCCCTCTTACGATTAGGTAATGGCCTGTAATGTACTCGAACTTCAGTAGGGTAGTGGAAACGTTTGGTCGGGTAGTCATAAATTGCTTCGATCCTTTCAGGCTCTGAAGAAGGCGATCCCGCCGAAACGTAGGCCAATAAAGGTTAATTAACAACCTCGTGTGGAGTTCAACCAGGATATCTCACTATCAGTCAGCTAAAAGTGCTTTTACTAACGCTTGGCTTTCGACTTACCAAAAGAATATCGAATACGGCAATAAGGCAGAAAACGCAGCTCTAAGACGTTGGTGAAGCCAAGAAGCGCAAGTGGATCTACATGAACAAGCTAATGAACAGAGACCAAACACGATGGGCAGTGCGGCTGCTGCATTGGAAACCTACTGGGAGTGGAGCAGTTGGTAGGCCACGAAGGCGAAGGGAGGACGATGTGGAGACGTTTGGAGGTGTGGCTTGGACGAAGCTCCCTCAGAGCATGACCCGATCTTCTGTTTACATCAGATTAAAAACGGAATGAATGTTATATTTGTCTACTTTTCGCCGAACAAGATGACCTCGGATGGCATTATTCTGCCGGAACCGATTAAAAATGGAAAGATCTTACCAAACCAAATCGTGGCCCATGATCACCAAAGAAGAATATGAAAGAGTTGTTCAACTGAAAGCACAGTCATACCCAAGCATAGCCGCAAAAACGTCTCTCAAAATGCCTACCGTGTCTCTATTCTTCAGGAAAAAGTCGTACATTGCATAGTCGCTACGGTAAAGTAGTTTGGTATCGTCATGAGTCAAATAACCGAACCATGTCAGTGAAAATTTTGGCAAACCTGCAAAGTGCTGCGATGACCCAGCAGTATTTTTCACTTCTTTCAGTAGGATGGATTAAAAAAAACCTGCGACACTCCGGAAAAGCCGTCCAAGAGAAAAAAACAAGAGGTTCTCGACTCTGCTGACACTTCAAGGGTTCAGCTGTTGTAGTGTAATTTGATGTCTTTGTATGAGCTACTGAAGCTTAAGAGCCCTCCGTGGGGCATGTGAATTTTCGACGGGTGGGGTTGGGCTCTACCTGCATTCGTAAATAGTCTCATTTACAGTTCCACAATGCGTCAACATTCAGTGCTTTAATACCAAGGATGTTTCTTTCCACAATAAGCGAGTTTCGGCCGGACAACTGAGAAGAATGATTACCCTTTACTCATCACTTTTGAGGCGCAGCAAACCGGTAAATGGTAGCAAGGCTAGGCTGCACCAACTAGACAGCTCCCGGGCCCCTTTCACTCATCAAGGAACATTTTCAAGGTGGTCACCGGTCGCGTCAGCTTCAGCTCACCAAACTGCTCTGACGGAGTTGGTCTTCTTATAAATTATTGGAAGGATAGACACGACTTGT